TTATTGCTAGTAATTAGTGTTTGTATGGCAAGATATAAAATCAAACAATAGGCAACCTTAATTCAAGATAAATTACATGAAAACAATACACTTCGCACACTTGCACCTCTAGGGTAACCCACAATTATTGCCTCTGATAAAAACAGTCATGTCCCTCGAACATGGGATACTTTAGCAAAGACCCTCAATTAGAAGATCATAGTCCCTCGATGATCCTTCGATGTTACCTTCGGTAAAAGATCTTAGACCCTCACAAACAAATTGCTAAGGTATCCTACAATGTTGCCTTCTATGACTGTACGACGACCCACGCCTGTCCCTTCACATCCAATGATAGGGCTTCTTACCAATCAATGGTAAGATAGGAATATCTAAAGGAGGAGGAAAAGAACTAAGACTTTTTGAGTAGGTAGAATGCTCGCAGTTGCTTTCTCACAAACTAAAACCATTTCCACACTCACACTTTCAAAACATCTTTCCAAAAACAAACATCTCTTTGAACTATTTTTAAAACCAATACTTTGTATACATTCTCGCCGAAACGAGAATCATTAAAAAATTTACCGAAACAAAAGCGTTTTCAAAATATTTTCAAACTTACACCAAACACAAACACATTTCACAAAGCATTTCAAAGTGAGCTAGCAACTAAGAGTCCGTAGATAACTACGGATGAAAAGGGCGCTAACACCCTTTTCATAACTTACCCCCCCCCCCCCCCCCCCCCCCCGAACTCAAGAAAATATCTCAAAAGGTATTTCCTATTCTTTTCACCCTTTCCTTTATTGGATAAAAGAAAAGTCGGTGGCGGCTCTTGCTATCCGCAACAATTGCGATCAAACGCAAAACACCCAAGTCAGTTCTCCCACCGTATTACACGAGGCAACAAGTGTGGGTTACCCTAGAGGTGCAACTGTGAAAAGTGTATTATTTTCAATTATTTTATCTTGAATTAGGGTTGTCTAATGTTGATTTTGAATCTGGCCATACAAACTCTAATTACTAGCAATAATAAGGAAAGCGATAAATTGCGAATTTAAATGTCCTACGCTATTATAATACTTTTGGGGATGGGGATACAAATTTACAAATGGGGATGACAAGTAAAATAAAGCCTTAATTACTATTACAAACCATTGAATATGAATTATAATAATATACAAAATGTAAAGGTGAAGGGGGGAAGAAATCAATTGTTTTTAGGGTTTTTGATGAAAAGGTTTGGGGATTAACCTAATTAAGCTAATTAATTTAATTACAAGAAAAGTAAATAAATTATTTAACAAAACCTAAAATCTAAGTTAATCAAATTTAAGAAGAAAATAAAATTAAGTCTAAAGTAATTTTATTTAGAAAATAGTATGAACGTTAGTTGTTAATTAAGAAAAATATTCTACAATGTAAAATAAATAATAAAATTTAATTTGACAAAAATACTATAAAATACTTAAATTAAAATATTTAATAAAAAAATATATGTTTTTGTATAAAAGTAAATAAAATGAATAAATTATAGAGAAAAAAATAAAGAATATAAAAATGTTGGGTTGGGAGGTTGAAAAATAAAATGGGTGTGAAAAGTTGTTAGGTAAAAAAAAAAAGTTGACACCCATTTTATTTTTCAACCTCCAAGTCAAATATAAGTCCTTTGGTTGAAAAATAAACTCTCCTTGATTTTGAAGCAAAGTTGACATTCATGGCTCCAATGTGAAGTACAAAAGCTTGTAGGGTGGTTAACAGGTTGTAGATATGTTGCTTCTTGCTTTGAAATGTTTTGGAGTCAGAAGCAACAATGTATGGGCTCAAGGAGAGTTGATATTGTGTATAAAATAACTTTTCAAGAATGGAAGTGTGAACTTTGTTCCATTAATGGCAAAATGTTTTGGACAATGACTCAATCACTTGGATAATGGCTCAATTAGTTGTGTAAACATCTTATTATGGATATATTTGCAAGTCAAGAGGCATGCAAAGCAAGATTATGCAGCATAGTTGTGAGATTGGATCATGTGTCCATCAATAAAGTGACTTGTAATTCAAGAATGGATGCCTAACATCTTCTCTTAAATTATCATAGATCAAGCATGATCTCTTTAAGTTATTGGAAATTTTGGAAAGCTTGAAACATTGTCTACAACCTTCATGTTGACCACTTTGGCTAAATCAAATTGGAGTTAAGTGAAAATTGTTCAAGAAGTTAGGTCAAAAAATATGCCTAACTTGTCAAAATTTTCACTAAGTATTTTTATGAAAAATGTCATGACTTCATGGATTTATATCTTCAAATCTAAGTATTTTTTGAACATCAACCCTCTACTACAAATCTGTATAATTCATCAAGATCTACAACTTTCATGTTGAAAGTTTACCTTGAATCATCTTGCATCTTGGTGAAAAAATGTCATGAAGTAATGATTATCAATTATAAAAACACTTAGAAAATTTCTAAGTATTGAAAACTTTTACTTTCTTGACTTTCTTGACTTTCTTGATTCTTGATGATCAAGTTCGATATTTTTGAGTATCTTGATGAATCTTGACCTTTGAAATTCAATGTTGACCAAAAAGTCAAAGTTTGACTTTTTGTGTATCAATTGACTTTTCATCAGTTGATCAAATTTCAACTATCAATCCAATGATCTTGAGAAGTGATTTGAGCCATGACATTAGGTCAAGGTATTGTGTTTGAATCATTAAGATCATGCTTCAAGCCATTAGGTCATGTACTAGGTCAAAAGTCAATGATCAGTCATTCTCAATCAAAACCCTAATTTTGGCCATTTTGCCCCTTTGATGATTTAAATTTTTTCTTGAGGAATTATGATCAACCCTTTATAAATTGATAAATATGACTTCAAAATGTTGATGTTGGCCAAAAATCATGAAGTTTGACTGTATGTTGACCATAATTTACTTTTTACCCAATACAACTGATTTCCAGTCATCTGAGCAATTAATTGAGCAAATTTGTGATGTAAGACTTGAAACTTGGTATGAGCAATCTTGGAGACCTATAATGAACCATGAAAGTTATTTGGGGCATCAAAAGTCCAATTGTTCTTGAGAAAACCAAAATCCTAATTTGTGGACTCAATGCTTAGGAGGTGAACTTGTCTGATCAAACTTTTGAAACTTCTTGAGCATTTGATATCTTTTGTGAGGAATGTCTTGAGAATAGAGAGGGAAAATTTTGGGGTACAACACTCTAATATGTAACATCGGGTGGGGAAAACACTTGAGTTTGATATTTCATTAGTTTTGTTAAATACATTCATAAGTTTTTACAATGTTGAATTTATTGTGATTCCAACTTTTGATAAGACTAAAAGGTCTTGGTACTCTGATGAAATAAATGAAGTTATATTGAGACTATGATTCTGCTGCAAAGTCTGAATTTGTATGTTGATGTGCCAAAGAATTGGTTGTTATAAATGTTTGAAAACCTGTGTTACGGGGTATGACGTTTTGTTATGTTGTTTTCTTAAAGTGTGACACTCTTGTTGGTGAATATTCATTTTTAAAATAAATCACTATTTAGTGAGTTTTTAGAAGGGTGTTACAAAACTTCCCCAATAAATGGTATCACGAGCCTTTGGTTTCGAGAAAGGGATCGACTTACTTGTATTGAAATGTCCAAGAAGAGCCTTTGGTTTCGATAAAGGGATTGACTTACTTGTATTGAAATTCTTAGAAAGTAGTGTCTCGTTGCAAGGTGTCAATGACGATACAAGTGTATGTGAGAGAGCATTGTGGACTCACACTTGAGGGTGTGTTAGAATAATAATACAAGTGTGAGTAAGTGGGGAAATAGTCTCACATTAAATAGGAATATGATGACTTAAACATTTATAAGTGGGAGAACTCACTCACCTATCACCTTAAGATTTTAGGTTGACAAGTGGTGTATCTCTCACAAAAGTGTTTAATCCAACAATATGTATTGATGCTCCCTAGTAAACTCCCCCAATAAATTTAATATTTTTTTATCGGAAATTGACATAATGGACCAAATAGAGTAACATAAATGAAGTTAAGAAACTGACTTATATCATTTTTTTAATAAAGAGATTAAAGCATAATATTAAATTACGTTAAGGAACTAAAACATGTATTAAGCCAATTAAAAAAATATCATAATATTATTCATAATATGGAGATTAAAAAGAATTGTATGGATAAAGATGTTATAAACACTACGTTTATGACTCAGGCCAATAACAAAGAAAATCATTTTATATAAGTTATCTATAAGGTAGCGTAGAAAAACATGTCAAAGATGTTTCAGTTACATAATACCCGATCAACTGGTAAAAAATCTATGTAATTTATTAAATTCTCAATTTATTATTTGAAAGTTTTATTTTTATTTTTATTTTATTTTTTCAAATTTTCTTTTATATCTTTCTCCTTTTATATTATACTATTGTATCTTTAAAAAAAATATACATAAAAAAAAAACTTAAAATTTAAGTCTAATTAAAAAATAATTATTATAAAAAAAGTAACAGACTTTAAATAAATAAAGTTGGATACTATATTTAATATTACAATTGGATATGAGTTGTCAATATTATCAAATTCAAGTAACATATTTTTTTTATTCTCTATATAAACACATAAGAATAAGAACTACACCATTGCATATTGCTTCTTTGCTCTTTCTTCTCTTAGTATTATTATCTTGATTAGAATGGATCTAAGTAAGAAACAAGAGGAAAACAAAAGCTTGTGATGAAGAAGATTGAGGGTATAGATGATATTTTCACTACATTTACAAAAAGAAAAACTGTATTCACAACAAGGCCTCTGAATTATCAACACTTTGTGGGGCCAAAGTTGATATTCTTATGATTTCACCAGAGGAAATCCATTCTGTTATGGTGAACCTTCTTCCAAATCATTGGCAAGAACAAGCTTGAAGGAAGAAACTCCATCAGTTGAAGATCAAATAAAGAGACAAATGGTTGAACAGCTGAACATGCAAAATGATCAATTAGTTGATGAATCCATGTTGCAAAAGCTCAACGGGAACATTGTCAGCATCAAATAGTTCAGGTTGGTGGGAGGTGAAATATAAAGGTCGATATGATCATGAGAAGGTTGAAAATATAAAGAATATCACGCAGAAAATGATAAATGAAGTTATAAGTAAGGGAGGAGAGATTGATTCTCATGGTACGTATAAAATATGCATGCATATAATTAAATATTATATAATATCTAAGATTAGATTTGATGTATTAATAATGTCAAGTAATTCCATTTTGTGATGCTTATATGTTTTTGGATTAGCAAATTATTTCTTAGACAAATGGAATGGATTCGATTCAAATCCTAGTCTATTTGGGAGCAACAACAATTGTTATGAAATTGAAGCAAGTAAGAATACTCATCCAAATGCAAACATTAAATATTAATATTCCAAATGATGAATTTAGCTAACATATATTATTTGAATTTTTTTTTAATGAAGTTGATGGATCCAAGCATTATGATCCAAAAGATAAAAGTAAGTCAGTTGTTTTTGATGGCGCAAGTGGGAGTGGAAGTGGGAGCTAGGGGATGTGCTACCTTGTGGCGGTACCTGCTGGTATATCATTTCAATGTTGTTATGGATTCAACTACTTTTCTTTTTTAGTCATATTGTAGGGTGGTTGTATTGTGTTTCAAATGTACTTTCTGTTTTTTGTTACTCTACTTTTGTGCTTTATTTTAGTTGGTGTTCTATTGTGTATCTCATATTAGTCAATTATTGTGTTTCTTTTTAAACTTTGAGTATTATCTATTTGGGATTGAGTATCTCATATGTACTTTTTTTTTTTAATAAGATTAATCATTATTTTATCTCTGCTATATATGACGAATTTCAAAACAACGCTGTAAAAATAATATAGATTTCGTCCGAAAAAATGCATTGAAATCAATAATTTTTAACATTAATAATTAAAACATGTTCAAATAAACTCAAGTGAACCTCGAATGTTAACTAAAAGTGATTTACAATTCATTTACATTATCCGGACAACAACTTGCACTTGAACCGACTTAGATAAAAATCAAACTTCCTAAACGGATTCACTAAAAATAATTATCGATTCAAGTATTATCGCTATGAAATTGTAAACAAGTTGCAAACGTTTAATCACATCAGAATTACCGTTTCCAAGCTCAAACAAACAACATTCATGCATAATTGCAATTAATCGGATCGATACATTTTCAGTGTCGTAAAAATCAATTTATCATTTAAATTGATTTGAAATTGCCTTAACACATGAATTTGACATTAACTCTTTAACAAAAAAAAAATCAACATTGAGAATTCACCATAATTTGACATCAAAATACAATCAACAGATTATATCGGATTATCAAGACCCACATGAATACTTCAAAAGTTCAACCAATTCTAAATTACCAAAATTTTAAAAATTAATCCCATCAAGATTTGAACCCAAATTTTTTAACATGATGAAGGACACCCCAACCACTAACTATGATAGTTTATTGTTCTAATCCTTGCAATAAAGATATGTAATACATTTTATATATATATATATATATATATATATATATATATA